GAATAAAATTTTCTAGCTCTACCGGGAATCGAACCCGGGACCTTTGGGTCAGTAGACCAGTGCGCTGTCTACTAGGCCACGCTCGTCTCAATTTTACAATAATAAGAGTATATATATCTCCATATTAAATATATTTATTCCGATCTAAACGCTAGCTTGTGCACCATCCCTTTGTGTTTTATTTCTCGCTTTCGCGACGCGCATATTTATAAATATTTTCACGTTCGCTCGATCGCAACGGTGAAGCGATTTAGACCAGGCCCGAGATGGAAAGCAACGTGGAAGAAAAGCCGCGTCTAAGGCGCGGCGGAAAACAACCGCGAAGAAAGATCGGCTACCGTGTTCAAAGTGTTCAATTCGGAACAGCGAGACAATATTTTTTCGACCGGATCGTGTTTTCCATCCTGCCTCTCCTTATGAATATGGCAACGCGCGGCGGCAGCGTGCAGCCCGCTCGACTTGTTGTATACACCTCTTTCGGCACGTTCAGTCTTATGCTTGTGGTTTTTTTTTGTCATTGTCACGCTAGCGTTTTTTTAGTGGACAAACTGTCATTAATTAATAAATTATCAGATTCTGGGCCAGTATAATTCTATAAAAATTAATATATTGATTTAGAACTAGAAAAAGATAAAAAATAAGTTAAATTGAGATTAAAGTTAACCTATGTTGAAAGAAATATATATTAACTCGTATTTAATTATTATACACTCCAGAAAAAAAAATTTTCGTGTATAATTACATATATAAAATATGTTCATATATGTTTTCTTTCTCTTGTATAATATATCTCTGTTCATAAAATATACAAAAAAAATGATGGAAAAAAATTAAAAAATAATAAAAGGATCATTTTAGAGATTATACAAGATAAAGAAAACATACGCATACAGACATATTTTATATATGATTAAGAAAAACTTTTCCTCGCATAGAACGTCACAGACGTTCACGCAGGCATTATTTATTTTTTAACGTACTTAATATATGTATATATTTCAATAGATCAATATATAGATTATAATCAAAAATATAATTTTAAATTTAAAACGTATAAATGTACAAATTTGTTTTATATAAATTTATTAAATTTGTGTATAAAATTTTTTAATCTAAATTTTAATGTAAATTTTTAGTACAAATATATTATGAGTGCCTTCTTGTGAGACAAACGTACAATGTTAACTATCCAATAATAATTTTTGAAGCCTCGAAAATGTCCATGGTCAACAGTTAATTATTTAACAAAGTATCTACATGTATTCTTGCTAAGAAAAAGCATGATCCTAAGATAAAAAATATTATCATCTATATGTCATGAAGCGTCTGCAGGTGGCTGCATCATCTATTCGATCTAGACAACGGCATCTTTACAAAACTCGCTCAAACCGCGTCCAAATTTGAACAAATGCCATTGTGATAAAATGCTATTCGAAATCTATATTAGCGACAGCTAAAATCGTGTCGATAAGTTTTACGATATAACTGCATGGATTTTCAATTTTTCACGTAACTTATCGTCGATAAATACATATGTTTTACCATTTGACACAATAGGCCTATTCGCCCTATTCTTTTTTAACTTCTTTTGCACGCGGTTTATCTTTTCTCTTTTTCTTTTCACGTTGGAGAGAAAAAAAGAAAAAAATAGACCGTGCAAGAAGTTCAGCTAAATAGAGGCCTAGGCCTGTTCGTTTTAGCTGAACTTCTTGCACGCTCTATCTTTTCTCTTTATCTTTTCACATTGGAGAGAAAAAGAAAAAAAAATGAATCGTGCAAGTCCAGCTATAATATAGAACAGGCATATATTTTGACATAATTCCGCGTCCTGCAGGAGCCATTGCAAACTCCTATTGATCGTGCAGGCCTAGTTGACCACGCTTCTCGAATTATTGATTAATTTCATCTCGACAGTATTTACAATTCTTTTCCCGGTTGTTGCACGCGTTGCATGCTTGTGCATAACCTCCAACAAGATTCGTATCATCGGCATATGTCCACGAGGGATCGCAAGATCGTAGGATTGCAAGAGAATCGTATATCACGATTATGGAACAATACATAAAACTATTGTTGGGAGATGATGGCAATTCGCAGCTTCTGTATCCAGTCTTACTGATCGTTGTGTTTGCCGTTATAGTGCTAGGTAATTACATGTTTATTTACACTTGTAACGTTGAGAACATATTGTTTTCACTTTATGAACTTAGACATGATTGTTTGATATGTATTTACTGCGCTCTCTAGTATATTTAAAATTGCTATGACTTGTTTTTTTTTAACTTGCGAAAAGTATACTCCAATTTTTTAATTTCGTCTTTTAATTTAAATAAGCTTGCACGAATATATGTACGATTTGTTTTTTTGATGAGTTTGCTGAGTTAATATAAGAAAAATATCCTTTTTTGTACTTGAATTATTCACTGACGTATAATGTTACATCGTTCTCTTACGTATGATGGCGATACTTTAATTGAATGTAATTTGTACAGTTTTATTTGCACTGTGGCGCAGAAGGAAGTCTACTGGTTATATTATCCTTTTAACGGGCCTCAGCGACAGTGGAAAAACATTGATCTATGCGAGATTATTATATTCGAAATATGTCCAGACGTATACATCTATTAAGGAAAATGTAGGGAAGATTACAGTCAACAACGTAAGGATTTAAACAACATTTTGTGACAGATTTTATAATTCTATGCGATTTGTCTACTGTAATTGTCCTCATAAAAAACGTTTGCTTAGAGTTCTTTGAGAATAGTGGATATTCCTGGAGACGAACGACTGCGCTACAAGTACTTTGACAAGTACAAATCGTCAGTCAGAGGTCTGATTTATGTGATCGATACGGTGACTATTCAGAAGGAGCTCAGAGATGTGGCTGAGTAAGTATACAATGTAATTTGACAAAATTGACTTAACAGAATGTTTCACATAAATTTCGAGTAAAAATTCTAATATCTCTACACAATCAATACTTCTTTGCAGGTATCTGTACAATTTATTATCGGATCCCAATATACAAAAGAACGTTCCCGTCCTGATATTGTGCAACAAGCAGGATCAAATTTTGGCTAAAGGTTCCACGGTAATAAAAATGCTGTTGGAGAACGAAATGAATGTGCTGCGAATGACAAAAACTAGCCAGTTAGAAGCCACTGACGCGTCGTCAACCAACGTCTTCCTCGGGAAACAGGGAAAGCACTTTGACTTCTCGCATTTGGATTCGCCGGTCCATTTTGCGGAATCGTACGCATTTACCAAAGGTAGTGGACCGTCAGTCGACCTCGAACAGCTTAACGAGTGGTTAAACAAAGTCGCAAACCTAATGTAACGCATCCAATCTTACTGAATATAAATTATTGTGTTTACAAGTAACTTTGTGATTACACAGAGAATTTTTTTTATATAAACTTTCGAAAAAGATCATGTCATCACATTAATATAATAAATATTTATTTAAATACAGTTTATATGTGCGATCTTTGTCCTGTTACTCCTGTATAAATATAAATTGCTTCCATAAACTCGGAGATAATTGTAAGGGCTAAAGCACATAACATGGCGTAGCGATATACGACGGTCGTAGTCCTCGACCTGACAAATCAAGATACGCCAAAGCTTGTGCGTTACTTACGTCCACGACTACGACTGTCATATGTGCTTTGGCCCTTAGCACATAGAAAAACTTAAGCAGTAAGAAATCAACGGTTTGGATTCGCTGCCGCTTAGGGCCGTGCCTTAAGTTCTTGACTGTGATTGCCTGATTTGCTTACTGCTTGAGTTTTACTGCTTAAGGGTCGACAGGAGTCACGACCGAACTCCGAATTGATGTTGGAGACCTCGCGCGGTGACAATACGAAACTTCGTTTCAGTGTCGCCAACGTCGAGAAACTAACTTCTAGGTTTTATGTGTAAATACGCACACACACCATTGAACTGCTCACGCGGACGCACGGTAGAGAAACATATGCTAAGATTGCGGCGTTGCCGCGTCTGTGCGGCGTTGCCGCGTGCTCCCCGCTTTAGCAATACGGCCTGAAAATGCTTTCTGGCCGTCCGTAGCAGAAGGCAGTAACGTACCAAGTCTAACAAGCACCCGCTTTAGATGAATTTTGTGTTTTGCTGATGTATTTAGAAAATCCACAATAAACTAGAATGATTTATCAAAATAATTTTATATCAGCGGTGCACACGTACTTTTGTTGTTAAAATTTTGCAGCAAATATTGAGGTTCTGATGTATTTAAAAATTAGATGGATAATAATGTTGATTAAACACTCCGTTTTTTAGACTTATAATTTCATCATAGATTGCAGGAACAGATGCACTCATGCAAATAATGTGACAATTTTTCGTCAAATAATTTTTAAAATAATTTTATTACAAAACTACGCAATTAGGCAGTTCTGTATTGGAAAAAATTAGAAGAAAAATAAAATAACGACTTTTTTACTTGCTATAGTTTCTATAGTCACTCTCTAAAATACGACAATATCAGAAATAAATGAGAATTAAAAACATATCATTATGAGAACACTTTGCAATGAGTATATGTATATATATATATATATATATATATATATATATATATATATATATAT